CGCTATGCCGACGACCTCGCGTCCGCGCTCGCGAATCAACTTTCTTCAAGGCTTGGACGCTTCCTTCAGGCCACGGACTTGACGTGGACGTGCTTCGAGTTGGTACCCTTCTACCTGCCCGGTTCACCCGGCGTGCGGAAGGACCCTGTTGCTAGCGCCATCGAGCGCTTCCTTATCGCGCTGCAGGCGGGAAGAGGCACGAATTCCGCCGTTGGCGGTTTCTACCGTCCATCTACTCCCGACACCATCTTGTCCGAGATCTTATCCAGCATAGTCACTTCATTCCCCTCCCCTGTCTTCGGAACTGAGCACACCATTGTGTCCGAAGCCGTCAAACAGCTGTACGACGACGAACTCGATTTTGTCAAGAAGTCTGGCGGCCCGGAGATGAATCCAGCTGCATTCGACAGCGCGTGCCGGAATGCGGCTTCGGCTCTGAGGTCCAACGACGCCTGTGATGTGATATCAAGAGATGGCCAGAGTATGTTACGCGCTGAGCGATGGACTCCATCGCCAAGCAAAAGAAAAATGGGCTCCATGGCTGCAATAAATTTAATTATTCGTGCACACTGATTGATATTCATGTCTGGCCCCTGGGTGTGATAGCTCTACCGCCTTAGTGCGAGTGTATGAGTTGTGATTCTGAGCAGAATCAGATGTTCTGATTGAAAGTTGGGACTTTTTATAACCTCTCTCTAATCTCTACGCTATTACTTCTACCTCCGGCCTCCCTTTATTACTTCTACCTCCGGCCTCCCTTTAAGGTTCAGTGGTGTAGGGGTTATCACATCTGTCTCACAATTGTGGTTGTACACAGGAGGTCCCCGGTTCGAGACCGGGTTGAACCATTTTGCTGTTGTTGCGGTTCTTCTTTCTTTTTTTTAAACCCCACCGTTCAAGCATTTCGCGAGCCCCGAGGGCTGTAGTTGGTTAATACCTCTGTTAAATTATGCTTGCGTGCACGGATTTCTTAGTTTGAACCTCATTCGAAGCGCGTTTTGCTCGCCGTTCCCCCGTTTTCAATTCTCATCACTTTTGATTATCGCGTTGCAATCAGTGTGAGAGCCCAGTTTTTTTTCACGCCCGAGTCGTCCCCTCTCATTCCGGACCTCCCGTCGCAGCTCTAGGCCGCCGGGATGACATTGAAGGCAGAAAGCGACAGAGAACGGAAAAGTGATCGGATAATTCCCGATTGGGTCAATATCTTATGTCAGCGGCGATGAAGGGAGGCCAGTTCGAATATTGATAATCGTGTTTCCTGGACGTGCAGTTGGGTTATGGGAGTAAAATTTACTGTGTTCTGTTTTCCCTGGACTAAGAATACAGAATTCTCACTCTCATTTTTCCTGTTCAACTCAGTGTTGACGAGACGCAAGCTGTCGGTGGGGTTACGGGTGAGTTTTGTTTGCGGCGCTAGCCTCTTCACTCGCAAAGCTATTATGCTCTTCATTGCTGAATTATCTTGCTGCTGTGCGGTTACATCAAAATTCACTGTTTTACTGCCGCTACGATGTTTTTGTCACTCCAGGTCTTTTTACTATGTTACTCATGGACGAATCCCACAAAAGCTCCGATTTGCAATCGCGGAGATGGCATCTCGGAGCTGAAGATTTGGGCGATCCCTGCGCGGACCAATGCTTGCCACTGTTTCGGTTCTCGGCAATCATGTGCCGTAGCTGGCTTGCCTCACCCGCTCATGTCCGAACCCCGACTTCCCGCTGAACTGGAGCGCAAGGTCTTCGAATTGGCCGCCCAGTCCCACTCCAAATCTATTCCGGCCCTTCTCTTGGTTGCCCACCGGGTCAAAGTCTGGCAAGTTTCATCTCCGTTATGGCAATGCGATGTAACTGATAGCGCACGACAGGATCGAACCACTGCTATACCGTGTTGTCGTTTTTTCGAATCCACTGCCCGGCCATGTGTGCTTCGACCCCGTCCGCTTCACCTCCGCAATCGAGTCCCAAACCGTTGCAGAAAATGTCCGGCACCTGCTGGTTTACGAAGGAATCCCTCGACTCAACCTCGAACTCGTTCTCGCAACTTGCTCTTCCGTCGAGGACCTCCTTATCCTTCACTTTGGACCGGACTCCGATTTCCTACCTTTCGTATCGGGCATGCCTCTCCGACGTTTGGGTACCACATTGGCCGATCTATTCTTCGGAACCAGCATCAACTTCTCGCATTCACTATTCGCGCACATCACGCATCTGGAAGTAATGGACGATCTCGAGCCCGATACCGCCCAGTGGGAGGGACTCGCGCGCATTCCCCACCTCACGCATCTTGCCTTCCTGGTCGAGCGATCCCTCCAAATCCTCACACACGCGCTCAAAACATGCCCTGTGTTGCGGGTCCTTGTTCTCCTGAACACGTCGTACCAGATGCTCATGGATACTGGGATCGGGCTAGAGACCCTTGCGCAGGACACGCGGTTTGTGTGCATGCAAGCGCCGCCGACTGTACGAGACTGGCAGATCGGCGCTCGTGGTGGCGAGGATTTTTGGGTACGGGCTGAAAGGTTCATAGCCCGACGCCTTTCTGGAGAGATCCATCGTACGTTTAGCTTCTGTTTCTCTGCGGTTCACTTGTTGATCGATTTCGCAGGGGAAACCTTTGTGTTGCGGGAGGAATAATCTACATATCTATGATCTGGGCTGTTGCGGCTGCCTTTAAAATGATTTCCCTCAGGGATGTAAAGGCATGTGTAGCGACCGTTCAGTCGTGATCCGCCGTTGGTCTCAGGTGAGTGCCGTTGCAGTTTTTGATTCAATTCCAAGTCCTTCTCAACTTCGGCGAACATGAACGATGGATGCCCGATACCTCTGGTAGGTGTCTTTCCGGACCATTTTGTTCTCGATTCGGAGGAAATCATGAGCGCCGAACCTCTGGTAGACAAGAACAACAAACGGCCTTGGAAGCAGATGAATTCCGTCCAAGTTGATAAGCGAAGACTCGACTGCAGAAAGTGCATCTGAATAGAAGTCTTTTCTGGCCGGTGATGAAGTAGGCTTAAGATTCCCATTTTCTCCAGCCAAGCAACTCAGTCAGCTCAATACACTGCATGGGGATCAAGTTCAAAGGACGTTACAAGGCCAGGTAGGCGATCAATGTTCCGTCTGTCGAGTACTTATCACAAAGGGCAACTAAAATCTGACGACTTGCCAGGCTGTCAAGCGCGCATTCCGAAGGAATTGATGAATGGCAGGTAAGGTATTCATCTCATCCTGATTTTATACACGAGCATAGTTGAGTTCTCACCCTTTCAGTCTACGTGTATTGATTTGGAATTGAACCGTCTGAACTCGACGGTCAAGTCGACCACAGCATGCAGTTTTCCTCAACTGCCGGGCATACAATTCTGTCCGGGAGCGAGGCATTGATATGTTCGCGGCTCTCGCCGGCGTTGCAAAGATGGCGGACATGGGTGCGGAGGAAGGTTGCTGGCAGTCTCTCGACAGCAGCGGCCAGCGCGTCAGGGGGTAGTATCGCGCCTCCATTCGGTGGAGATTGCCCGGTTTGACTCTCAACTCCTGCGAGTACCCGACGGCAGAGTAAAGGTTCTAGCCTACCGGGAAGATGTAATCCGTAAGTTATAACCGGATACACTGCATTCCGGGTGGGCCTACGCTTAGTTAGTAAAGGTCCATGTAGCTGTATGCAGGTCAGCGTAGGTCAGCGTAGCCGACTACAATAGGTCAGTGTAGCCCCCTACGCACACCTAGACAGAGCTGTGTAGGTGAGCGTAGGTGACTATGTTGACCTACATACACCTTTGCCAACCCAGCGTAGGCCATCCCGGAATGCAGTGATAGGGACCGCATACCAGACCTTAACGTCGTGCAACGCGAAGGAGGCGAGGAACTGACCTGTTGCCCAGAGATGCAGCAATTTTGCGCCCCAGTTCTGGTGGCAAGAAAGGGTCCACTGAAAGTGAGAGTAGACTTGTGAAACAAATGCCCCACTGCCCCTGAAGAACCTCTATTTTCGTTGATTCGTTGCTTGTTGTGGCGAAAACCAGTCGAGCCATGAACACCATGCACTTGAACTTGCCAATAGAAGAAGGAATTCCACGTCATTTGGGCCATTCAACACCCCACGGAGTATAGGAGGTGTTGAATGTTCAAGTGATCCAGCTTTATTAATTTTTCTCACGGTTCAAGTGCAACGCGAAGAGCCAAATACTGCCTTCATCTCGCCTCCCTTAGAGAGACTTGGGTACCTATAAAGGCTGGTCAGCTGGGCAGACACGCCGAAAGGACAAAACATGTTTTGCTGGTACGACGTCGCAGACATAGGCCTTAACCCCTTGCGAAATGGTTAACTCAGATTCCCGAGGTGTACTGGTACCCGCCGCATCCCTGAAGTTCCGTATTTTGACGAACCGCTCCCGAAATGAAGTCGTTCTGGCACTGGGGGAGGACGAATAGTAGTGAGAGTGTAAATATTCATTTGGGGTTCAACGGAAAATGTTGGTTGTTCCACGGTGTTTACCTAGGTGGCCTGGGGGTTCCGAGGGTATTTTCGTGAGTGATATACGACTAGAGTCATGCTTATGCTTCATGATCTCAGTAGAAGGACTTGTATCTGCGGTGGAGGCCAGTCGAACCATATTGAATTCGAAAGAAGATAAAATGAAGGCAGTCCACATTGTTCTGGGCATCCACCGCGGATGCGACTGTACTCGGTTGAACTCTGCGCAAGTCCTGTTGACTTTTAGGTCACTTCCGACCTCATATATTCCTGTGAACTCTATGGAAGTATGCGGATGTCTGATCCCGAATTCCTTCGGTTCCGACATACTTATGTTTGTGAAATCCTCCATGAATCCTGGTAACTTGCTTGAAGTCTGCACAGATCCTGTTGACATTCGGGTTGTTCCCAGCTCGTATTTCTTCAATTCCGAGGCATGTTTAGCGAGTGGTGAGTTCTTTCAACTTGGTTCAAATATCGACTTCCCAGGTGCTCTGAAGGCACATTCCTTCAATTCCAGTGCGTTTCACGGTTCGATGGTGTAGTTGGTTATCACTTCTGTCTAACAGTTGTTGCCCCTGGGTAACCTGTCGCACAGGCGGTCCTCAGTTCGAACCTGGGTCGAATCATGTTTTGCTCCTCGTTGCTGGCGTTTGTCAATTTTTGTGTCAGTTGATGCGCACCCCCTTGCGTAACCTAAACCCCGGTGGTCCCCAGTTCAAACCCGGGTCGAACCGTGTTTTCCTGCCAATGCTGCGTTTCGAGTATTTTCAACCATCGATTGATTATCGCCGCGATCGGCGTGGGAGCATCTATTTTTTGCTCCCGTGTCTTCCACTCAGCGCCCCGGGGTGCCTTGAATATTTTCAAGTAAAACGGGTCGACGGTCGAGGCAGGAAACGACGAAAACGACAAAGAGCGGAAGAGAAAGAGAAGTGATGGGACGGTTCCCTATTGGGCTCGTGGCGTTGAGTTCCGTTTTGGGACAAGCGCTTTGAATGTGGGGCTTTCACTCTGAAATCAGGTACGTAAGAGTCTGCACATATCAGCTCTTGGGGCTACCTTCATATAACCATCCTCTCCCATAGGGTTTTCCGCCCAGGTATGGACTTCAGTGGAAATGCAACAGTTCAACTTAGGCTCTTCGTCTTTCAATTCAGTCACTTGGCAAATATTCGGCAGAGCTCTGTTTTCATTCTTCCAGGTATTTCTTGAGGAGAAAACATGGCCCTTGTATGTCTCAATTCAACGCAGTTCTGGACCAAATATTACCATCCCGCTGCCGAAAAATTCCCTCCATTACTAGGACCCATGTTTATCGCTTGGTAGGTCGGATACTGATTTGGCCGTTTTCAGAACTCTATCCGAACTCTTGCTGGCTGATGCGGCCGAAATTCTATCCGCATTCTGCCTCCGGCGAGCGCCAAGCCATTTTTTTATCCGAACTTTGCATCCGACCTCAAATTTGCCGCCAAAACTTCCATTCTCTAAAAACGCTACGGGACTACTCCGGTGACTCTTCCTCTTCCTCCAGCTCGATAATATTCATTTGCCCTTCCCTACCGCCACACAGTATCCAACTTCGCCAGAGCCTTCCCCAATGCTTCGCGCTCCGTGGCGAGGTCTTCAAAGTACGCAGACGAGGCGTAAGATAGGTGGGAGTAGTCTACACGTATGAGCTCTTGGGGATACCTTCATATACTTAACCCATCCTCTCCCGTGGATGTTCTTCATTCTTCCAGGTCTTCTTTGAGGAGAAGGCCGGCCTTTGTATGTCTCAATTTAACGCAATTCTCGACCAAATATTACGCCGAATAATTCCCTCTATTATATACTCAATGAGATCAGTGCAACTTGAAGGACAAAGCTTCATTGCTGAGCCCATTGAACCAATTAAAGTTGCACGCGTTCAAACACCCGCCGAAATTTAAAGACGTGGACTTTTTCTATCCATCCCGCATTTTCGAGGTCGAATAAAATCGGTTCAATTATCGGCCATTAGCGCGTCAGGCGACGCGTTCTTCGGCAAAACGGACGCGCGTGGAATTCGCGGCGCTCTATTGGCTCGCATCATATGGAGAGCGCCAATTGGCGGCCTGTGATTGGCTGCCGCCCGTTGCCGAGGCTAAATGGATTCCAAAAATGGCAGGCACCAAAAGCAATTTTCTTTCTTCCCGCCACCATGTCCTCCGCCTCGAATCCCACTCCTGCGCCCTCCGTTCCCCTCTCACGGCCAGCAGCTTCGGAAAACCCCACAAAACCACCCGTCTGGGCTATAGACACAGTGGCACCCACATCCCAGCCAATTCCGCTCCCTGCCCGCTGTTCGCGCCACAATCGACCCGACGGAGTTTGCTGCAAAGAACTCAAAGGCGACGACCGCACCCTCATTGACCCAGATGTTGTCCGCGACGTGTAAGGCGAACCATGGAAAAATACCGCATCGTGTACTCACCACTCCACACAGCGTCATCGGACTCTCAGACGGTCTCACAGTGCCCTTCGCATTGACCGCTGGCCTTTCTTCGCTCGGCGAATCTCGTCTCGTCGTCCTCGGAGGCGTCGCGGAGCTCATTGCGGGCGCCATCTCGATGGGCATTGGCGGATTCCTGGCGTCCCAGGCGGAGAGAGATCACTACCGCTTCCTCCGCGATAGCACCGCCGCGCGCGTCGTCCGCAGCTGCGACGGCGAGATGGAGCGCGAGGTCGCCGAGGTGCTCGCCCCTATCGGTGTGGACGAACGCACCTGCCGCGCCGTCGCGCGCTGCCTCCGCGAAGTCGAGGTCCCCTCCACCCCTTCGTCCGGCAACACCATCACGGCGCACGACCTCGAGTCCAATGAGTCCCTCCGATGGAGCAAGGAGGTCGGACTCACACCTTTCTTGCTCAAGTTCGGCGCCGGTCTCGAGGAGGTGCCTACCAGCCGCCTCTACATTTCTGCATTCACGATTGGCGCGGGCTACCTCGTGGGCGGCATCATCCCCCTCATCCCGTATTTTTTCATCCCCCGCGCACACATCGCCCTCATGTGGAGTGCGCTCATCACGGGCTTTGTGTTGCTGGTCTTTGGCGCGGTCAAGGCGCGGGTGACGGGTGCGGGTGTGGGCGCCAAAGGCTACCTATGGGGTGCAGTGAGCACGCTTCTTGTCGGCGGTGTGGCGGCTGCCGCCGCGTTCGGGATCGTTAAGGCGCTGGAAGGCGGCGGTGATTAGAGATAGTCTCGAGTGATTGTCGCCGTACGTTACGACCAGGAGTATAATCTGTAGATATAGGTGCATTTGTTTTGTAAATTTATTGGCATAAAGAGGGATCTTTATTGGAGCAAAGGATCTATGTTGTTCGAGAGAGACCGCACTTTGGCTGGCGTTTGTTCAATCAACCAAACTCCTAGTTTTAGAGAGCACATGTACTGTACACCGTTCATTGCAATACTCTATGCTCTTCAATATTACCCAAATCTTCCTCCGCTAATTTACACCCGACCCATACAAGTACATTTTAGTGTTTAACAACTTCTTTCAGACCGCGTGTTGGTGCGTTATCGGCACTTGCTGTAGAACAAGTTAGCGCCGAAGAAGGGGGGGAAATCCGACACACACCTCCATAACCTCCTGCGTGCTCTCCTCCTTGAACCGCTCCACCGTCTGCGAAAGCTCCGCCGCCGCCGGCCCAAGCCGATGCACCGACCCCGCGAGGGCAGCCATCCGCATTCGCGCCAGCGCCTGGATGCCGAAGCCCGCTTTCTTCCCTGCAGAAGTATCAGCAGGCGCGCGCTAACGGGATATCAAGAGCAAAACAGGAACGCACATGCCATCTTGGCGTTGAACGCCTTCTTCACATGCGGCAGCAGATCCGTGGGGCCGCCGCTCGGGTTCAAGGGGTCCGGCACGAACGGCGTCGGCGCGGAGGCGAGCCACTGCCAACCATTAATGAGTTAATTAATTACCATAGTCAGCGCAATAAAATTAGGACGCAGAGGACGTGCGACGCGCACCCGGTGCTGGAGCGCATTCGCGGCAGTGGGTCGGCGCTCGGGATCCACTGTCAGACACGCCATGATGAAGTCGCGCGCGGTGGGGGATACGTTGGCCCAGTACTCCGCGGGCTCGAACTTGTAATCGCCAGCCATGATGGCGGCGTTTTCGGCCTGCGGGGTGTCGCGGTCGAAGGGCGTGTAACCCGCGAGGAGGAAGTACGTGATGACGCCCATCGCCCAGACGTCTACGGGCTTACCGTGGCCCGCTGTCAGCGTTCGAAGGAAAATAAATACCAACATCAGCAGCATACGCACAAAATGGGGAATGGATGCCCACCGCCTTGGAAGATCTCGGGCGCCATGTACCCCGGTGTCCCGCAGACCTCCGTGAGCCGGTTGAGTTTTTCCTCCTCGATGATCCGACTCAACCCAAAGTCCGCGACCATAATTTCGGCGTTCTCGTCTGTCGTGCGGAAAAGCAGGTTCTCCGGCTTGAGGTCGCGGTGAACGACGCCAGCGTCGTGGATGTAATTCACTGCTGTGAAGACGGATCGCACAAGAGCCGCTGCATCGCTGCAGAAATAGTGAGGATTCCGCTTGCAACGTCGAGGAAGTAACGCACGGCTCGTAGTAACTGCCCTTTGAACAGATCCGGTCGAAGAGCTCGCCGCCGGTACAATAGTCAAAGCACATATAGAGGTTGTTGCGCGTCTACTCTTCTAGTCAGAACCATATCAAAACAACCCGCGACGCGAATTGCACGAAGACTCCCCCGCGAGGCAGATCGACCCACCTCAAAGTAGTCGTGCAGCGTCACGACGTTCGGGTGCCCGCTCGAAATGAGCTTCAGCACCGCGATCTCGTTCCGCACCTGCATCGCGGCGCGTCAACAGCGCCGATCCTCTCACACGGACGAGCGGCGTACGAGATACTCTCTGCCCTCCATGAGCTGCTTGTTGATGATCTTGCACGCATAGACGACCCCCGTCGTGTTGTGGATGGCCTCCCGCACGATGGCGTACGTGCCGCTACCAAGCATCCGCCCGGTGCGATACTGCAGTCCATGGCCAGTCAACTCTTGCTTGCATGGGAGGCCGGGAAGAGACGTACCTGGCATGGCGTGAGCATGTTCTGCATTGTTGGGAGTGGATGGACCAGGAGGCGGATGCGGTCAAAGCACAACGCAGATAGCTTCGTCCGTCGTGGTCGCGGTGTGAAGAGAACGATAGATAGACGCCAGGTCTAATTTTACTTGAGAAGCACAGCTATATTATTCTGCGCTTCGCGTGGACTCATTCGACATGGGTGCAAAGAATGGTGTTCATTGTAGGTTCCGGTCTTCAGGAGTTGTGTGGGTCCAAAATCAAAGCCCTTGGAGAGTTCTGGGTGATTGCCGTTCCATCCAGAATAGTCGATGGGCGGCTAAATTCAGACGCGCGGCAAAAAGACTGGAGATAGCACCGACCAAGAGAGGTATAGAAACAGATTGATAGGTTTCGAAGAAAGCCGGAAGCAGAAGTGCTGTCAGCGATGGTGGTCAGAAAGAGAGTCTGGAGTTACGTAGCGAATATCAGGCTTATATGGTCCGAGAGCTCAGGATATTTTCCATTTGTACGACTGTCAAAAAAACAATCAGTCGTCAATTTCAACGAG